CGTTGAATTCCATTTTTTGTTTTCAAGGACTTGAAAACTCTTGGATGTAGACTCGGGTCCTTGAAAATTTTGAAAGTCCTTGAAAATAATTGCAGATGAATCAAAGTCGAAGTTTTCTTTTGTTTTTGGCGTTGAAAGTGTAAGTTTTGGAAAACGAGTTTTCCTTTCAACTCCCGCGTACGAGTATGATGTTTGACCCGTGAATTAATTATATGTTGTATCTGATTGGTGCATTGAAAATAACCTTGGTTACCTAGCACGTGATCACTGATGTGTATCCTTTAAGTCACGTTCGCCGGTCCTGCATGCAATGTTTTTTCTATCAGCTCCTATTTATTGAAAAAGGTCCTTGAATTTGAGAGCCAGGGTCCTTGAAAATGACCTAAAAAGTCCTTAAAAGTCCTTAAATTCGGTTCCTGAAATGGTGCAAGAACTCTGAGTGTATATCAACAACATCAGAACATAGGTATTGCATTTTCTTGATTCTGTTGGAATATTAGAATATGAAAAAAATTTATACAGCGTCAATTCCAAGTAATAAAAAAGTTATTCAAAAACGTGATTGAAAACGTAGGGGCATGTGTTCCAATCGGAAGTTAAAGAAGCAGTTTGATCTCTTTGTTTGATCTCACACTCGAGATTGGATTTTCAAAAGATTGTAGAAGATACATCAATATGGAAGCAGTTTTCAGACAAAAATTGAGCGATTTCTTGGTTAAACGAACGCGCAAAGCCGGAAGCGGTTGAATAATCGTTCATTTTATTAAAAATTGATTATATAAAGGAATAGAGAAGAAAATGTTTGTCATGCGATTTTCCAAAACTGACAAAGAAGTCTTGGAGAAGTAGCAGCTAAGTCAACACATCCAAGAACAAAACCTTGCCCACTCTTTGCAGTGTTTGAACCTTTCCAGCGATCCTCAGCTTTACCATCAAGCAATCTATGTTTTATTTGTTAACGTTAAGTCGATCTGATGCAAGTATGGAGTCCTTTTGAAAAACTGAGGCAATATCATTGTTGTATTCTGGTTGAGAACTCAAAATACATGAATGGCCGGCTACGAAGAAGTTACACTTTGAAGTTGCAACGTTATTTTATATCATCACCTTCCAATTCGATTAGCTGGTTATTTATCCCTTACTTTTGCCATTTTTGGCAAAGCCCGGGTGCGATAGGTTGCCATCAGAGGGCAATAGGATATGTCGTCACAAACAGAACAAGCTTACGCATTTTTTCAATGAAATTGTAAGGACTTTATTATTTTCAGAGAAAATAACACAGCAAATCCCCACGAATGCTGACTCATTAATATGCATCGTTCAAATATTTCCCTTTTCATTCCGATGAAATAACTTGCACCAACTCCCGGCTATGAGCTCGTGGTCAATGTCAGTTTAACACAGGTCCAACACAGATTCAACACAGGTTCAACACAGATTCAACACAGGTTCAACACAGGTCCAACACAGATTCAATACAGGTTCAACACAGGTTCAACACAGATTCAACACAGATTCAACACAGATTCAACACAGGTTCAACACAGGTCCAACACAAATTCAATACAGGTTCAACACAGGTTCAACACAGGTCCAACACAGGTTCAACACAGGTTCAGGTCTTCTTGCGGTTGGCCCGCACATATTTATGCCAGCCGCAGTAACTTGGCTAGTACACATATCTGTTGTCTTTGTCAACGCAGTTGCATGAGCATCCTGAAACAGAAGCATGCACACGTAGTCTGCTTGTAGGCGGTAGTTACTATGCGCGAGATTCAACGCGGCGAATATATTCGGCTACCATATTGGCCGGGTGGAAGATCTGGGACGAGTGACAAAGCGGCCGAATATGACTCGCCGCGTTCAATCTCGCGCATAACAACTATCGCCTGTAAGCAGGCTAATGTTTACGAGGAATTATTACACGACTCGGGCAGTCAGAGGGCCGATAACTAAAATCAACCAATCAAAATGCTCTGTTGCCGGTCAATATTCTCTCAGTATTGGACCTGGCACTGTCCCGAACGATACCGCACTTGTGTCCCTTTGAACTTCAGTCGTATAATAAATCTCTTATTAACCAAGCTTGCTCGGGACCGTACTGGAAGAATATCGGCCCTCGGTCTTTTTTGTACGGACCGAGCGCAGCGAGGTCCGTACTGTCAAGACCTCGGGCCGATATTCTCCCAGTACGGCCCTCGCGCTTGGTTAATAAGATATAT